TACATAGTAATTTCCAAGACAGTTGTGTTTCCACTGAAGCATCTCAATTTTTAACCAAATGCAGTTTCCATAAACAAGAATCAAAACTAACCCTAATTTCCAAGATTAAATACATAAGATTAATGTCATAAACATAAATGCCAAACCTTGAACAACTCAGGATGTCTGAAATGCCTCAAGCAAACTGATATCAACACCATTACATTTGGTAAAATTGCTAGTGGAAAAATCAGCATTGTATTGGAGCTAGTATACACATTTTAATGAATGAAGTTCAAAGCTGAAAATGGGCAATGAATTCAGAAAAAGACTATTTGGGGAACAATTTTTAGAAAAGTTGGAAGAAAAAGTTAAATACTTTCCAAAACTGACATAGGTGTACATCCGTACAGGCACTATGAATGTTAGGGGTTACAGACGGCGGTGCTGGTTGTCTATGAGAGGCGACGGAGCTGAGCTAACCATGTAGACTCCCCAAGCCCCCCAAAAAGTATGGAAGATTTGATGGCCACAAACGCATTTTCCTGGCGCGAATCATGATAGTGAGAACCTAGCATTAAGACGATTGTATTAACATCTTCTATTACTATCGTAACACCTAACTGATTTGCATGAATAAAATGAATAGCCAGACCTTTTATGCTCCTTAAAGGACAACATTAGTGTCAGCCATTATCACATATGTGATAGAACTGGTTAAACACGTTCTAAATATAATTTTAACACAGAGATCATTGCTACAATAGTTGTGTAACGAAGATTTCAAGAAACAGAAGTGCCGAAGGCAAAAGGAAAACACTACTTATCCTTCTTTATAACTGACTGACTTTGTAAAAATAAAATAGATTGAGTAACTTCCTTGGTGAATAAGTATGCCAATAATATTAATTATATAATACAAAGAAGACAGTTTGTAAAATTGTATACATATTATGTATAAGAATAACAACAATGATAAATATGGTTGGTGTTATTCATTATTTATACATTTGGATGATGACCAATGTTGGGGTGGGGAGCAGAACTGAAATGCCTGAAAAACTTTTGGGTTACAGATGGCAGTGCTGGTTGTCTGTGAGAGGCGAAGATGCCAAGCTTACCGTGTAAGATACCCCCCTCCCCCTCAAAAAGAAAATGCATTTTTATGCTATTCCAGCCCATAAATACAGCAACTTTAAAGTGGTCCAATATAGCCTAGCTTAGGTGAATTACCGGAATTCCAAATCCCAAACAAGCAATCAATCGTCGCGGGTATTTCTGCTATACCGAAATCCGACTCTCTGCCAACTTGAATTTCAACCATACAATCAGACTAGACTATTGTAGCTGCATTCACAAATAATAATTGATGCCCAAAAAATGTCACACAAAGTAGAGTGGCTCCAGAAAAAATGTTTTAATCTGTATTCAATTCAGTAAAAATTTGTGGTATTCAATTAAAAGAAAAGTAAAATTAGTGTTTTATTAGATTTCGGGCACTTTATTATGCCAACTAGAAGAAGTAATAACTTTTTTTTCACTTTACCCGTCTGCCCCCTGCCCCCTGCCCCCTGCCCCCTGGCTCATACGCCTATGTAAACTGATTGGTTTCAGACATGTCATCTTGTAACAGTAGTCAAAGTTATCCCCGCTGAAACTATTCAAATATTTCATTTATTTTAAATAGCTTAACATCTTTATATTCAGCTATGTCAATATGTTTCCGTATTAAAATAGTACTAGACTGGCTCAGCAATGACATTTTATTCGTAAATAGAAGTATTTGTTTACTTGCGGAAAAGTGTTAAAATGGATTAAAGCAGATTACAAATCAAAAACATACCCTTACACAAATAACACTTAACAAGAAAAAAAACAAAGATATGATAGCCAAAGACAGAATGTTTTAACGTTATAGAGGTGTACAGGGAAATTCCCAGACATAGAAATTTCAGAATGTAAAGCCCCACCCCCTCACCAAAATTTTATACCAAAAAGTCTAGTGGCACACATACCAGGTTAAAGCTGCTGTTCTTTGAAAGAAATTTAATTATTTTTGCTAACACCAACAACCAAGATAAATATTATCTCATATTTTTTCATTATATATTTTTTTTTTAGGTGGTTAGGACACAGTCTATATAATGAACAGAGCAAATAATCAATATTTATGAGAAGAAAAAAAACGATGTCAGCTATTTCATATAAACTGTGCAGTATCGTCCCATGTGAAAAGCATAGTAATAGAACTATTTTTCTGAAATGTAAAATATTTTGTGAATTTGGTTGGGTGTAATCAGATGTCAAGTGTCTGATATTGATCAAATTTAAAAGTTTGCCATTCAAAATTCTTTAATGTCTGTCTCCTAGTTTTCAAATCTATGCAATTTGTCAACATGTATATGAGTATTAAACAAAGATCAAGTTAAAACTGTGTTGTTTCTTCCAGAGTTGAAAGGTTGGCCATGTCACTTTTTTATCAACTGATCATGATTTGCTTTAAATTGGTCCTGAATTCTGTTCATGCCCAGAAAAAATTATAAATTTATTTGTATTTATATTTAATTCTTTGAAATACCTTTATTTTGGGGCCATGTAAATGATAGGAAACATGCATTTCTTCTCTGTATTTATTGGCAAGGATTTGCAAATGATAAAACAATGTTTCTATTTTTGAAAACTATTCGGAATATTATTAGGCAAAATTAGAGTCTTTATTAATAACAAAGTATTCAAACAATTAGGTGGAACAATGTGACATTAGAACAGACTCCAGTCTTGCCTCTTTCAAAAGTTTACAGATTACGCACTGTTTCAGAATACAAAATTAAATAGAAGCATCGTAATACAAAAAAATTAACGCAATTTAAAAAACTGATGACTTAAATGAATTCTACTACCAGTCATGTTTCAAAAGGCATTTCTGTGCTGCAACATAACAAAATAAAGTTCGATAAAGGTTCCTCATAAATCAGCGTGATCATGAAATAATATATCTACAAAATCAATAAAATAATCATTGGTGATTATTAACTGAATGGTTATCAATGTCCTTGATTCATTCCAATATGCATTTGTGTAACTTCATGATACCATTAATATTTTGTTTACAGTACTTAATCTGTAGGTTTCTATTAAAACTGTGAAAATATATATACTTAATATACCAGTACATAAAAGCAAAATAAATAGAATATAAATAAAAGAGTATGTCAAAAGCATAGAACACTTACTTCAAACTCCAAGAAGTTTCATCAAAAAGTTACTCTAATTCAAAGTGCATAATAGCTGATCATCTTGACATCCTTCACGGCCAAGAGATAAACTTAAACAATTGCAAATCTCGTAGCGTCACTGGCTACTTGTACCTGTTTAGACTCATCACACTTGCCAAACCTGTCTCCAAAACTCTTACAAAACCAAGTACGCCTATTTATGCTTTGTGCAAACATCAGTTTAGGGGTAAACATTGTGAATTATGTCAATATAGAGAAGGTATTCATACCTTTCTTCTTAAATACCAAATGGGACCTACACCAAATATATTAATATTAATAACTTTTTACTACAAAAATATTAATTTCAATCTATTTATATTAAAAGACATACAAAATATAAAAAAATTAATGTTATCTCTGTTATGGCATCTGCTTAAAGTTTAGGAAGTGTAAAGCTACATAGTATTTAATATGTGTTGACTGTTGACAAGCATGGTGATCAAATCATAAATACATCAATATCAAATCAATATTACATGGAATTCTTAGGAATACTATTTTATTGATACATGAGATCACCAAAATACTTCATGGTTTAACTTCCTGTCTTAAATCTTTATAGTAGTTGTAGAGACGGAAGACATCTTAAATCACCATAAATACACTTTTGTTTATCTGTATTAAATCAGTTAGAAATCGATTTATTAAGGCTGCATAACATGATATTTTTTTTTAAATCTCAGCACAGCGCTGTCTTAATTATGTCATAGCTAATGATGAAAGTCTTTCCTAAATAATATAAAGTCACCATAGCCTCTGCAGGCTTACTGTAGATTAGGGAAATTAACCGTGTAAATGTAATTTTAATTACAAATGAGACAGGCTCTAGCTGCGAGACACTACTATGCATAAATGTAAATTCTGTATCCAAAGACCTTTAAACTGGTATATGACCCCGAAATTTATCTTTGAAAATGACTTAAGATATTAATTACATCACATTATGAACATTAAGCAAAAAACCGATTGGAAATAACTACATTAATCAAAATGAGACACCATAGCAACAAAAAAACTGTAAATTTTGTGCATTTCTGTTAAGTCTTTGCATTTGAGCTTTGGAGAATTAAAATAAGCAAACTTTATATTAGATATCAAATTTTCTATTCTTCAACTTTATAATCTGTTATTTAGGACACAATTATTCAGTGGAACATTTCTATGAATATATTTTTCTACAGTGTATTTATTTAAACCTCACAGAGATAGGAAAATCCTGGTGGTTGCTAAGTTAAGCTTTCGAGTCTAACCACCGACTGTTGGAAAATGGATAGGTTTTGTTGAAGTTAGATTTAAAGTTGTTTGGTATTTGCATTGTTATTGTTTGTGAACCTGTAACTTTTTATGCTATCTTTAGAAAGAGACATTCATTTAATTTGAAATATTTATTGTGACAAATATTAAGACAACATTAGCTCCTTTATCATGTGAGCTGGAATCTAATTCAAGGGAGATAACACCACAATTAGATCTCCCAAACATCAAAATTAATAACTCTGTCCAAAACCATGAACATACAGTTCCTACAGAATTGTAGCACATGAACCTCTTGTGAAAAGTTCAAGATTTTTTGCAAAATAGCTGTATCTAGTATTGTGAGTTAATTGCATGTGTTTTGGTAGAAATATTCCTAATGCATGGAGTTAATTTCATTTGTTTTGGTAGAAGTAGTATTCCCAATGCATGTACATGGTTTAGTCAGTTTTATATTTGAATAAATGTTTAGTTGAAAGTGGCACTTACCTTCAAATAGTTTCTGATCAGGTTCTGTTGGACTTCGAACATCTTTCTTTCTTACAGTTGACTGGCTGATCACAGATCTACGATTCAATTCAAACTCTTGCAGCGTCTCTTGGTTGAATTCATCAGAATCGGAACCCTTGGTTTTCACTGTAAAATTGGGTTTCTGCACCATATCTGCAAACTGCCGAGCTTTATCCACCAGCTCCTGACCATTGTATTTTCTGTATCGTGGAGACATCATACCATCAGAACTTGTGGTGGATGTAGGAGAAGTTGGTGACATGGCTTGTGCTGAAGATCTGTCCTTCTTTTCTTCAAACAAAGATCGTTTAGATTCAAAGACCAATGGAGAAGTTAAACTAGAATCATCATATTGTGAATCCATGCTGTTATCTATCAATGGATTATCTAGTTGGCTGGATGTTAGATTGTAGGAGAGGATACGGACAGGTCCATGACTGTTACCATCGGTTTCATCTGATGAAGTAGGTACACTGGTCATAATACCACTATCACCTTTAAAAGAATTAGTACAAGCAACCAAATTAGCATACATGGTTAGTTAAACAGAAGTAAAGCTGTGGTTACATTTACAACTAGCAACAGATAACACAAAATATTAAGGCATATTATATAGCATTTAGGTTAAATATTTTGTATGTTAGTTTAAGAATAGTGAAAATCTAGGAGTTGGATAGAGAGTTTGTTAACCCAATAGGTACCCTGATTGCCTGCTACTGACTTGACGTGTGTTTCCTATCACCAATTTCGGTGGAAAATCTGCATTTAATGCAAATGAAAACTGTTACATATAAATTGTAATATTGACGCTGTTTCTGTAAGTTACGCTTCGAAAGTTAAAACACATATAACTTTTAAATCATGTAAAAGTCCTTTCAGTTAACAAAATATCTAATGTTTGATATGTAATAGCTTAGAAGATGCATGCGCCCCAAAATACATAAAGGTTCAGTAAATTAACATTGTCAATTATTTAGTCTGGCACCTAAAGGGTTAATATATGTATGGTAAAATATATATATTGAAGAGATGAAAGATTAGTTGTTATTTATGAGTTAGTGATATAAAACAGTACAGTTTAAAAACATTTAAACAAAAGCAACAGTTCATGATCAAATAAAAACATAATTAACTTTCCAAATGTTCTGCTGTACGAACCTGGAGAAAAAATTGCATTGAAACCATTGTGCTCATCATCATCAGAAAGATCAGATTCATCAGACTGGTCAATCTTATAACCATTTCTTACTTTAATCTTAGCCACATTTTCCAGTACTTTTACTCGGTCAGTGTATTTTTTGCCCTTTTTTCTAGTCAATGAACTAGTGCTCATGCCTGATGCCAAGTCCGTTGTTTCAGCAGATACAGCAAGTGATTTGCTAGATGATGGTTGTGTCTGATGATAATTAGTTTCATTACTTAATTTGTTCTCTGTATTTGATCGTACAGATGTATTTCTATTGGGGCCTAATTCAACGGGTGCTGCAGATCGATAATCTGACCTGCGCTGATTATCTGGTAATGTTTGGGGTCCCGAGTTCTGGTTATTAATTGCTTTCAAATATCGATTCATTGGCGAGTCTTCATTAGCAATTTGACTCCTTGGGAAATCATACTCCTTTCCCTTGAAAGAACTATCATGAGAGCTTTCATCGGAATGTTGATACCTTTCATATGCTTTTACAGACGGACCACTATAAGAAGCCTTGTATGGCCTACCCTTTGAAGAATCAGTTTCAGAAAATGCCTGGTTTTCAAAGAACTTTTTATTTTGTAATAAAGATCGACTGATTGAGGTATCATCTATATCCGATGATAAATGTTTGTGAGACTGTTTCTCACTGGCTGAGTTAGTCGGTCTCTGAATGTTTGATGAATCAGTTTCTTTAAATGCCTGTGTTTCAAAGAACTTTTTATTTTCTAATAAGGACTGACTGATTGAGCTATCATCAATGTCTGATGAAGATTGTTTGGGAGACCTTTGGTCATATGTGGAATAAGTTTGTCTCTTTAGAGTGCTTTTGGAATCAGTTTCCTGAAATGCCTGAGTTTCAAAGAAATTTTTATTGTCCAATAAAGACTGACTAATCGAGCTAGTATCTATAGCTGAAGAAGATCGATTTTGTGATCTTGATTCATATGTTGAAGAAACATGACCTTGCTCATTTTCACTATAAGAGGAGTTGTTAGTTTGTTTAGTATACTGATTATTTGAGTTGTTATGAATACCTGATGATGACTGACTTTTCAAGTCACGGCGATCGTAGTCATTACCTTCAGGGTCTTCGAAACGACTGGCTGCTATGTGGTTTTCCCTGTTGAATGATTCATCAAGGTCACTGTCTATGGGAGCTGTGTTGAGGGGAACAGTGTATTCAATTTCAACAATTTCATCAGGGGATGTAGCTTCATCAGATGTTGGTTGACAGCTGCCAGGAAGAGGAGGTGGTGCAGAATTTGGTAATGGTGGGGGAACAGAATCAGCTGAGTCGTAAGATGAGATAGACATTCGATCAAATGCTGGTTTTGCTCTCAATCCTGTACCATTTCTGTTGATAAGTTCTGTACTCCTTTCATCATTTTCAATATGTTTGGTTTCCTTCTTAATGGTGACAACAGGAACACAAGAATCTGTTTTAGGTGGACTTTCCCAACTAAGGTCCTTGTTGTCTTCGAAACTTGATTCTGATTTTGGAGCTGGTGGTTCTGGCGCTGCTCTTTTTTTGATGCTTGGTCTTTGCTGGTTATCCATATTTTCATCCCGATTGACTTCAGAGTCATCAGCAGTCATTTTGCTCTGTTCTGCATTGTTAAGTTCCATTATATTTTCATTGTTAGTCTTAGATTCTGAAAATAATGAACTGGGACGCTCAGCTTTAGGCTTGTCGCCATTTACAAGTATTGTCTCCATTTTGTCAAATAATGCTTCCAAGTTATTGTCAGGTGCAGATAAAATGGATTCATTCTTTTCATTCTTTTCATTCTTTTCTTCTACTTTATCCGTTACCAGGTCACCATTCATTGGTATTGCCGGAGAAGATGGTGATTTTGTTGAACTTTTTCTTTTCTTTGTTCTTGGTGGTCTTTCTGGAGGTTTAATTGGACTTAGTGGTGGACTGACTGTGCTTGTCGGACTTAGTGTAGGTGGGCTTAATGAATCTGGACTAAGAGGAACAGTTTGCAAAGTAGATTTAGCTTTCATTGCAGTTTGTTCAAACATCTGTTGTGTTTTATAATCTGAAAAATTGTCTTTATCAAATTGATGTGATGAGTTTGATCTTAAGGGTGACAGGTCTGGTGTATTTGTTGGACTAAGTGAATCCGGACTAATCGAAGCTACTGGTGATGTTGGGCCATATACTGACATAGACCTACTTTCCACAGTTCTTTGTTCTTTTACAAAAGATGGCTCTGTTGTTCTAGTGGATGGAAAATGACTGTCATGTAGAGCAGATGGTGAGTGATCAGCTCTGTTTGTTAGATTTTGTGCTAATTCTACTGGTGGAGCAGGAGCTCTAGTTTTCTTCACTGATGGTTTTGTTGGAGATTTATCAGTAGGTGAGGTAGGAAGTGAATCATCTGAGAAAGATGCTGAAGATCTTGTTCCAGTTGGTGATAAGGATGATTTAGATATAGTTTCTTTATGTATTAGGTTTGTTCCTATAGAGGAAGCACTATCTGCTTTATCTAGTATAGGTTCAGAGTTCGCTCTTTCATTTAACTTAGGTTCAAGAGTAAGTTCAGGATTGTGAGTAGTTTGTGTGTGTGTGATTTGTGATGAGGAATGAATGCTTGGATGAGAACTTGATGGTGGAAGAGGAGCAGGTGATTTCTTTAAGGATTTATCTTGTGTTTTATCCTTTGGCTTGTTTGTAGTTTTCGATGTCAGTAATTCTGAACTTCGTGCTTTGGGTTCTTGTTTTTTATTAACATATGACGAATTGGGTAAGCCTTCTACTTTATCACTGCTGTGTTCAGAATGAAGTGATCTTCTCTTTAATCTGTATTCCCTTGCGGCTTGTGTAGCTTCATCGTTGCGTTCTATATAACTTCTACGCTTGTGACCATCTGAAGTGTCTTGTCTACGTTTGTAAATTTCAGGAGTGCTGTTCACACTTCTTCTCTTTAAACTGTCTGGTGTACTAGATAATGATCGCTTATCACTAGCTCTTCGGTGTTGTCGAAATTTTTCTTGTTTCTCTTCCTCTTCTCTGGCCAGCTTCCTAGATAGGTAGTCGTCTGGATTTTTCTGTAAAATACCCAAAGACAAAATATATTATATGTTCAAATATCAAATATTCAATGCAATAGTACAACAAAAAATTGTTAGCCATGTGAACTCCTTAAATGAGAAGTGGTATCTGATGTTCTAGGAAGAGTGGGCCTAATCTCTTTCTGTATCATGTGTACAAAGTACTACTGCAATGACTTGAATATATTGCAAAGCATCATTATTACATGCTATAGGCTTACTATGTCAACAAAACAGAATTTGCTTTGAGTTCATTATTATATTTAGTTTCCTTGAAGAATCTGACAGACTGCATATAACTATAAATTGAATCAGAAACTCAATGGAATGAATATTTTTTTTATTGATTTTCATTTTAGATTGACATGACAAACATGTTACACCTGTTTAAACTGGGTTACCTGTATGTTTTATAATAAGAACATTTGGTGACACCTATGACATTGTATCTATTTGTTATCTATCCATCTATTTATCTATGATATATAGTCCTGGTAAGAATGTTATTTATATACTGATAGGACAAAACAAACCTCCACTAATACTCACATCAAACAATAAAACCTGTAATCCAGCAGACTGATTTAAATTCTTAAAATATGTCATATCACACACAGCAAATAATCTACTTAACCTAGACAATGTTTTGGGGTTTTTTTAAATATCATATTTATGCAAAATAGAGTCAAATTATGCAATACTTAAAAAAAAAAACAATCTTTGTTGCCAGGTTCATTGCACTACATAGTATGTATTGACCATCACTGCCATTGGTAATGTAGTAGCATAATTTTTGATAGAGTATACAGGTAGAGATAAAACAGAACAATATGTCCTTATATTCATTTAAAACTACATTTATACTGAAAATTAATCCCCCAAACCTTGGAGGGCAGCATTCCCACCATTTGGACATTCTTGTCAAGTTTTACTATATTGACATTATTTATTGACTAAATTTACAAACGGAATCATTGATCATTTATAAGAGACACCCTAACCAGAAATATCTACAACTAATACATATCTCGATTGGTTTATATTTATTCTTTCTTTTTAAACATGTGAAGTTAGCTTATATGATTACGCTTACTGATGGAAGAATGATGATCCACAGACTGGACGTACAAAGATATGTCATGTTGAATGTGGTTATATTATCAGAATATAGGAAAATTTAGATTGTACTCTGAAAGGGGAAAATAGACGTAAACATAAATTGAGTTCCAAGTGACTGACTCTAATCAAACTAAAATTTCATATTACTTTTTACTTTAGATTGTACATAACTTAATCAATCTAAGATCTATACATTTCACCAGAGTCCCAATTACTAATATGAAGCATATTAAGATCTATATCATCTTTAAAAATCGCGTTCACCCAGATTTAATATTATTTGTAACTGTCATATCACAGCCTCAGGCCATTCACTTTTTACTTGTGTTTGCTTTATGTATTGTTATGACAGTTTATGTTTTTTTATTAAGTTAGTTTTGTTATCACAACATGTTTGAAATTTTTACCAATTGATTTGATTTTTTATTTCTACTGATATTAAATATTTCTATTCTTTTCTTATTTCAAATTCAGCGAAGTTTAATTTTTAAAATAAAGATTTTTAACAAAATGATAAACATTACATATGACATGAATAAATAATAAATAAATACACAGGGTTCACCCAAAACTCAAGAAATAAAGCAAAACAAAGCGTGTTCATGTAATTATCTAAGTTAAAAGTACCCTCACAACCAAAACTCTGACCATTAGCATTTACCAGGTTTTGATGTCAAGGGTATGCTATCACCGAATGGCTTTACACAGGCCTGTAACTAGGGGTTGTGCAGGGGGAAAAAGTCCCCCCCCCCCCGGTGAAAAAATTGTCGACCATAAAAACAATAGATATACATTGTCCGTCAATTTTACAGCACCCCTGAGAACACTTCCTGCCCCTCTCATTGCTCTGAGCTAGTTACGGCCCTGGCTTTACAATTTCCCAACGTCTATATGGAGCAGATTTTGAAATAATTAATGGATAAGTCATATGAATGTTTCACTAATGGCTAATTAATCTGGTTGATGTCTTATCCTAAGTAACAAGTGTAATCAAGGGGTGAAACAAACCATTAAAATCTTACTGTCTGTATGACGGATATAAATAGGTATTCAAATAGTAATTAAAGATACATATCTAGGTACTATTTATGGTCATTTAAAATCAGATATAATGATCAATATCAAGATGACTCGGTCAACACAACGCACCTTTAGACAAAAGTCAAATCTGTTTCCATGGAAATACAAAAATTATTCAAATTTCTATTTCGTAAAAGACACAACTGTATCTTGAAATGGTTTAAGATGCTATGGATACAATACTGACAGCCCATTTCAATATCCATCCCCTTAACTTTGTTCAGTGCAGCATTTGTTAGCAATGAAAAAAAAGGCAATATAAAAGACTGTCAACATTTTGAAACAATAAGGTGAATTTTGTAAGAAAATGAATGATTGTCAACATTTTAAGATGAACAACTGTCAAAGTATGTTTACACTAAAAGGAAATGATGGTTAGTATTTTGAGATGATACTATAAGGTGAATTTCCAAAGAAATTAAATTGCAGCCCACAAATCGATTTTACATGTAACCTGTAGAAAAGAGTATTAGCAAATCGCAGCTGCAAATGTGAACTTATTGATAATTAGGATAAAATCATCTAATCAAAGATACATTATGGGAGATATTTATAGAGAGTTGGCCATTCTTGCTATAACAAGAATGTATTGAAAAATTCAGTCAAATTACTTTATTCTGAACATAGTTATCATCGTTGTAATATTTGCCTAGAAATGGTAGCGAAATGTGTATTCACCTTCGCCGAACGTTTGATTGACAGGCGTTAACTCCACCTACATATCTCGATTATCAAGTAAAGTTTTCAATGGCATACGGAAACGCTTTACAGCGGCCTCGCTAAGTACACTATCATTTAGTCTCGATCTAACTGACGTATTTTCATCAGGTTACCCCTTATCTGATTTAATCAATTAGTGAAATCCTATTTAAATCCGAGCTGTAGCCGAGCCATCCATGGGTCTACAGAGTTGATTTTGGTCTTGTTGTTTAAATAAAGATCTAATTTATAATTTCTATAACATCTGAAGCCTAAATTAAGACTTGCAATAATCAGATTTAGCTCTTGCATAATGCATGTTTAACTAAACATCTGGGCCCTTATTCACGAAAACTTAAACTAAGATACCATCGAAATTTTAAGAAATACTGCAATTCGATTGGCTGACCAATATGCAAATTGGATATATGCAAATTAATTTTACTGGTCAGCCAATCGAATTGCAGTATTTCTTAAAATTTTGATTGTATCTTAGTTTAAGTTTTCGTGAATAAGGGCCCTGTTTAAATATATTAGTAATTCATCTTTTTAACTATATTAAGAAATCATCTGTTTAACTATATTTAGTACAATGTTAGTAATCATCTGAATAACTATATTAGTAATCATTTAATTTATAATCATTTATTTGATGTACTTTAACAAATCACAAGAAATTAATTAAAAAACTGGGAAACAGATTATTCAATAACTGCTGATACCTGTATAATTTAGCCATAAACTAAAATCTATACACATGTTGAAAGAACTGAGATTCCAAAAAACTTCCAATTTAATCCTTTTGACTGAATATTCAATATTTCAAAATTCATTTGAAGTTTATTTTCAAAATATGAAAGCACATCCTACCTTTTCATGCATTCTCATCCTTTTTAGAAATAAAGTTAACATGTGTCAATCTCTAAGAAAAGATCTTGGCTACAATCCTTCACATCTGTTATCCAATCTCACAACAAAAATAAATTATTGGTAAGTTTTTGCATTTAGTAAAAAATAGTTGAATTAATAAGACTATCACATCACATGAAGCAGTGAAGCTGAAAGATAGACTGGTCCAGCGGTGGCCTTTCATGGACACCTTGTGTATGCTTGAATGAAGTGAAAACTAAATCCACAATATGGTACATGTACATTACTCCCCTCTCTCTAGACAAGCCTAAGGCCATTATTTGATCAAATTTCATGATAACTAATACATAAAATAAATAAATATGATAATGTAAACAGCTCTTCAGATGATAGAATATGTATATTCATGAAATACTCTCTGACTTTTAATCAATCTATTTCCTATGCACATACTTCTGTAAAGGAAACAAATTCTTAACCCTTTTTTTAACTTTGGCAAAAACATTTTTCGGCCAAAAAAGTAGCGTAAATGATTATCCCCTTGGTGTCAAATATTTCGGTATTTATATTTCAGGTAAAGACTATGATCTCTTGTTAAAGAAAAGAAAGGGAGTTTGTAATATATGAGTACATGAAATGGAATACACCCATCTCTGATAACAATAGGGCTTGAAAACAACAGCTTAACAGGCAGGACCTGAGACAACATTTGATGACCATACCACAAATGTACCTGACACACATAAGTTTGCCGTGGGAAATATTTCCTTTGATAGCTTGAAGCAGCAAAAAAGTACTGACATATGTAGCGTAAATCTTTAATTTTTCTATAAATCTTTCTTTTTAATGGGTCTTAAATCTTTTGATCAGTCATAAATAATATGAAATGGTCTGGAAATGCTACAATATGAACAAAATAATGTTCATTTCTTACTCTTTAATCATGACCCCATGGAACTGTCAATACTATATTATGTAAATAAGTGATGTGCTTTGATCCCTATATATCTATTGATAGTACTATAGTTTTGAGCACTTTTGGGAGCACTTTTTGGGTGCACTTCACTGTCATTCGCAGTGGGCTTTTTTTTCTAATAAATATATCCTGTTGTGTCTCAGAGTCACCATTCCACAGTATATGGAGCTTCAGGCACCATTTCCCCTTGTTTGCATATAAAGTGTTGAAACAAGAAGATTTCATTTGATGTGTTTTATAGGAGCCACGGTGG